TCTATTTACAGGGCTTTAGCAACACAAGCTTTTTATTTAGGTTTAAAAAAAAAAAAAAAAAAAGGCTGAAAATGCGACGTCTTTTTAGAACAGCTAATTTTTTATTTTTTTTTTTTCTACCAGAAGCCCAGCTCAGCCCCTCCCAGCAGTGGACAGACGAGATGTGTAAAGGAAGGAGTAGTTACCAATACACGCTTAGACTTTTAGGTTAATTTATTTTCAGCACCTGTTCTTTGGTACAGGTATTAGTAAAGCTGGAAATACATACAATGTATTTTCTCAATGAAAAGATCAGCTGTACATCTTTACAGCACATAAAAAGCTTTGCTAACAGAATCCTCTACCGCATCAGCACAAACAGTACCAGCGAAAACTCCTGTGATAAAAACGTTCATCAATAGCTTAATTTTGTTGTAACTCATTTTCCTAAACGTTCATCAATAGCTTAATTTTGTTGTAACTCATTTTCCTAAGCTGTAATTTAATGTATTCAAAGAGACTTCAAGGTGCGCTGAATTCATGAAAACATTCAGTGCTTGCCAAAAAAAAAAAAAAGGCAAGTTAAACATTCTTAGTAGAATAGCCCAAAACTATTCTAAGCCCATTTCTTAAAGATGCACCCATGTTACAGCTCAAGCAACTTATCAATTAAAAAGCACCAATCACTAAGATCTGTATTATATTACAGCCACCATCTTGCAAATAACTACTTAAGTTAAATGCTCGCGCTAATAAAAACTTAAAAAAATACAAATCTCTTACTACCAGTCTTTAAAGATTTGTACAGAGTATGTAAATAGGAAAACACTTTATATATGTTAAAATCTAAGCCACTTTCGCAGTTCATTCAGCGTAACCAGGTAGTGTTCAGCTGGGTCTGGTTTTTTATGCTTGTGTCCATTTTCAAAACTTCTCGAATCGCCATGGTAGCGTAAGTGGATGGGGGAAGGGAGAACTCCATCTTTAGCGCCCTGAATTTACCATCTATCATAAGGGGTAAGAGGAGACACAAAGCAAGAAAAATTTGTTAAGGTCATAAGGAATGCTTATTCTGGATGCCATCTAAACAGGACTAAAATTTTCCATGACCAACCCCCCCCAACCCATAAAACAAAACATCCACCACCACCACACTCTATAATTTACAATTCACAGTGGAATTTC